GTGGTTGCCCCCTGGAGGTGGAGGTGGAATGGATGGAGACCACTATGTCTGCAAAACTCAGAACCTTCCAGCTGGTCCTAGGCTCCTGGCACCAATGAGCTGAGTGACCAGATGGGCATTTGCAGGATGGGGCCTTTTGAACTGGGCTCTGCCCTTCACTTCTTGTACTCCCATCTTGTGTACCTCTGCCACCCTTGGGTGGATTGCTCCCGTGGGACAGACCTAACTTTCTCAAGAATAACCAACCTGTGGTCTAGAGACCATTCAGAGTCAAGGTCTGAGTTCAGACTGGTGAGGATGCTAAGTCCTCAAGCCTAGCTTCAACCAGGCTGTCTCCAGTCTGAACTCACAGCCATGCAACCTTAGTTACTGCACTGTGTTCACAAATATACTCGGTCACACTTTCTAGCTCTGAATTTCAAAAGCACCTATTGGAGCTATTGCTTGAAATTGGCAGTAATTAAAATACACTTGAACAATGTGGAGGGTTAATTTGAGTATAAATTTATAGTTGGCGGAGAGGGATCCAGGGATCCCCTTGAACTAAGACCTCTGCTATCACTGCTCAGTGGTAGAGTGTGTGCCTAGCATGCATGAGGTCCTGGGTTCAATCCCCAGTACCTCCATTACAAATACATAAATACATAAATAAATCTAATCACCCCCCCCAAAAAAAGAAAAAAAGTGAAAAAACATTTGTAGCTGGCCTTCCATACCTGTGGTTCCTCCCATCCTCAGATTCAACCAACCACAATCATGTAGTACTGTAGTAATTACTGTTGAAAATATTTGCATGCACTTCAAACCCGAGTTGTTCAAGGGGTCAACTGTGGTTCATCCAATGATCACATTTATAAATCACTCTAAATGTAATGGCCCAGCCCAAATCTCAACTTATCCAAAAATGATTCCGATGGTGGTAGGCCTATTCATTTATGAGATTTCATTATGTGCTGAGAAGGATTTGAGAGAAGAAAAATACCTGGTGTCTGCCTCTAGGAACTAACAGGGGGGAGAGGTGGACACGCCGACAGAACTTCACACAGCGGGATGAAGAGGGGTGGGGGATCCTGGCGTGTGACTGTCCAGCACACACAGTTTCCGTTCTTTAAGGGTAATGCCTACAGTCCACGACAAGCACTGTGAGGCCCAAGGCAAGGCCAGTGTGGGGAAGCGTCTGCAGATGAGCTCAGTGGCAGTGACTGCCAAGTGGGATGCTGATGGCAATTTGGGTGGGGTAGGTCTTTATTGTATGGAACTGTCTTGTGCATTGCATTCTTGGCCTTCACCTCGAACGGCCCAAGCATCCCCTAGTCACTGTGACAACCAGCACTGCCTAGACATCTCCCTGGGTGCGAGGGTAGTGCTGCCCAGGTCCCCACTGCCCTGGGGAAATCTAACCACCAGGGGTCAGTGGCTCAAAGGGGCTGTGAATCCCCGGAACCTGGCTACTCAGGCATTCATTCTCATGAAGTGGTGGGCGTGGAGGGGAAAGGGGTGGGAGTGGGAGGGCAGCACCAGGGCCCTGGTCCCAGGCCCAACTCACTCGGAGTAGACACCTGCTGTTTTTAGCTGCCTAGCATCCATTCCCATTTCCTTTGGTTAAAAATTACCCAGATTACTGTTTTGTCTCTTCCCTGCTCTCAGGCTCATACTTTCCATGGAGTTGACCTCAGTTCCAAAGGTGGCTGTGTAAGCCCAGCCTGGCCAGTCAGAGCACAGCATTCCCCTGGGCAGAGAACGGGTTCTGGGAGGGACACAGGACCTATCCAGAACCCCATCGGATCAGAGGCCTTTTGATGTTGGCAAACAGGCTTCCTTCCTGCCAGACTTGACCTTCAGAGGCAGGGAGGTTGTTGCTGGCGAAGCCATCTGGCCACCTGGTGGGAAAAGTTTGCCTAAGCCTGAGCACAGAACCAACACAGCAAGCAGATGGGGAGAAATGGGCTTTGGGGGCACTGGCTGCACCCCTAGAAGAAACTACACCAGAACTGGAACTCTCTTGACTTTTATAGGAATCAATACATTTTTGTTTTGCTCAGGTCAGTTTGCGTTAGATTAGCCAACATTTGCAACGAAAGGGGACCTAATTAATATGCCAGAAAAAGGAGCTAAATATCTTCAGTCAGAGGAGCTGGGCTGACCAGAGGCTGTAGCCCCTGCCCCACCTCCTCAGTCCCCTCCACCATGTCTGTGGGTCCCTTTCATCCCAATCTGCAGAACAGATAGCAACGTGACCCCACCCCATTCCACCCCCGGAAGTCAGCATTCTGCTTCCGGAGGCTGGCTTCCCAGAGGAGGTTCCTGTTAATCCGGGGGTGCACTCTCCAGGAAAGGAAGTCCTGTGATTGGGAGGTGGTGAGTGGACTCTGGGATTCCTGGTAACTGGCCTGGCCCCCTGCCCAATCACACCTGTGCTGGAGCAGGCAGATCAGCTCCTGCCTCCCCAAGGGCTGTCCTGCTGGCCTCTTAGAGGTGAGCGGGTCATCCAGGTGCTCTGTGCGGTTGCTCCCCTGAGTTCAGGGTTGTCCTCACCTGGTTACTACCCACCCCCTCCCATCCCCCTGCTTCAGTGCACTCTGGACTCCCATCCTTTACCATCTGCATTTTTTTACCTGGGGACTTCCTCTCTCCAGTGGACAAAAGTGCAGGGGAATTAACCACCTCCCTCCCAGCAGCCTTTAACCAACAACTGACAGGATGGGTGTGTAAACAACCGGCTTCTCCTCCTCAGGTGGGATTACTCAGAGGTGTGTGTTCTGTTTCCTGGCACTGCCCCAGCAGGACTCAGCTTCATTTGCCCCCAGTGGCCACTGAACCTGTATTCATTGTTCTCCCTTCTCTGTTTCATACTCGTCTCCCCTCCTGGTGTTTCCAGGGATCTCCTTGAACTAAGAGCTCTGCCACCGCTGCTCAGGAGCTAGATGTCCAAACTACCAGGCACTGACTGGGTTCAGCTAAGTCACTGGACAGACCAGAAAGCTGCAAACTGTGCCTCCCCCTGCCCTTTGTCTCTCCCAACACAGGTGAAGCTAAATGAAGCCAGTTCCCAGAGACAGAGTGTTCCTGGGCACAGGGCCTCTGTTCTCCAAGGTGCAGGCCTAGGAAAAAGCCAGTGCATTCCTCCTGGTCCCACTAACTGGAATTACTGCTGGATCCAAGTGCAGTTGACTAATTATGTTAGCTATTGAATTAAGTTGTCTAATTCCTGCATTTACAGTGGGAAAATCTAAAATAGTTGGTTCTATGAATGTATGCAGAGAAAGTTGCCCACCTTGGGTCTGTGACCCCCAGCAGGAAGGACAGGATCCCACCCTGGTTTACCTGGGGCTCACTGAGACCCCCACATTTATCTTCCTACCCATCCATTTGCCAAGTCCAACCCTTGTGTCTCTGGGTAAAATACACTAAAGAAATAGAATTTTGTTTTGTTTTGTTTTGTTTTGTTCTATTTTCGTGGCAAGAAGGATCCTTGATGGAAACTGGATCTGTAAGAAAAATAAAAACAGAGCCATTAGCATCGACAATACTCTCTGGCCCCGGAATTCTGGTGGCTTTCCAGTTTTATAGCCTCAGCGGTGACAGTTTAGCAGCTAAGATCCTCCTGTGGAAAAATAAATTATTTAGGATTCAAATTTCTTCCATTCATCATGTCCACTCTTCCTTTTGTCCAAACACAGCCTCACAGAGACTGTTTTTTTTTTCCCTTCAGGCTGTAAGGAGCTTATGCAAAGTGCTTAGCATCACTGTGCTTGGTCACTGTCAGTGTCTTCTGTGTCCTCTCCCTGCTCCCAGGGCCCCCAGCAGCTGTGATGGAGCCTTGCTCTCCCAAAGCTAGACCATGGTGGTGAGTTTTACTACATTCAGTGCCCAAAAGGAGAGGGGATGCAGCCCCTTTCATTTTAGCGCAGCATCATTCACTGGTGGGATGCTGAGAGAGAGAGGCTCACCAAGCTTTAGGAAAGAAAATTCTAGAAAGATCTCCCCCAAGAGAGGAGGCTTTGCCACTGTCATCAGATGGTTCTTCACTTTCCAGACTGAGAAGAACACCAAACTGCTCATTTCCCTTCCAGAGTCTAAGAGCAGAGCCTGCGAGACTCAGGATGACTCAGCAAACCCCCGTAATTCATCCCTGCCCCTCCGCTCCCCCAACACACACGTGCACACTGAGTCACACACCCTCAGGGTGGCTTTCAGTGGCTAACGCACTAAAGCCAGAGATGTCTCCAGGCCAATAGAACTGCGCTTTGAAATTCATCCTGCACTGGCTACCACATCAACTTCTTAAAACATTCTTGCCTGTTGCAGTGGGTGCTGCTGGCTGCTTTCCCCAGATCCCTCCTCTTCCTTCCCAGCAGGGTTTTAGTGCTCCCCTTCTTTGTCCAGCCTTCTCCTAGACGGAAGCAGTCCCAGCCCTAGGGGCAGAGCGTCGGGGTAGCTGTAGATTGGTCTAATCCAGTCATAGTAATCCAAACCCCTGCGCTAGTTGTTTGCTTAAGAAGGGGCATGAGATCCAATTCAGGGGCATGTCACTCCAATCAGGGGGCAAGTATACTGGGGAGGGGGCTCCTGGGAAAAATTTCTTAACTCAAGAAGAGACACAAGGAAAGGTGGCCTTTCCATCCCCCACCCCTCTAGCTTTTGGCGGTCAGGTGTGAGGATACAATTCTGGGGGCTCCTCTAGACTTCTGCACAGGAGGGAAAGCTCTGATGGTGTCAGAGCCGGAAGCTGGAAAAGTCCCCAGGTCTCTGATGACACTGTTGAGTTACAGCCCTGACACTTCCCAACTGTTCTGTTGTTATCTGAGATGATCTCCTTATTATCATTTTGAATTCTGTTTTCTGAAGTTTGCAGCACCAAGTAATCTCACTCATAATCCACTTACAAATCAAGTCTCAAAATGCCTTGCAGCATTTGGAAACCTACCAGTTTTTACCCTTTCATTTTAGAACTGAATTAAAGAGAGTGATGACACTGGCAGAATATTTTTTTCAGTTTACAAAGCAGCTTAACTGTGGGAGGTATGTAAGTTTCATTCAACTTTCATTCAACTAGTGAATTTTTCTCATGAAGCAGTGAAAACTTTTTGCACCTCAAAGTGTCTATATTGAGAACAGTGACTGAGAATACAGGACACCTGGGAAGGGGGCACTCAGTGAGCACCTGGGTTGGCCCATAGAGCCTGAGTGCTGGTTCAGGGTCCTCCCTCTGTTTATTTTACAGATGGAGATGGGTGCTGGTGCCAGGATGGGAGAGCACATGTTTGTCTGCCCACATTCAGCAGGGAACAGGAGAACAAGCAGAAAGGAGGCTGCTGGATCCTTACAAGCAGAGGTCACAGCCCTGCTCACCAGTCCCTCCCACTGAGATACATCTCTTTGCCTTTTTCTACCTGTGGACACTTGTTGACCTGAGTCTACATGTTCTCCTTGTCTCTGGAAACTTACTGGGATCCTGCATGCTCACTGAGACCCAGAGGAGACCCAGAGCAGGTCTTCTCCACAGGCTCCCTCCTTCACTATCAGACTTCTCATCTTTGGCCTCAGTTCCTGGCCCTCTGCTTTCTCCCTACGTCATCTCAGCCGCTGCCTAGGACTTTAAATCTCAACAATTGCTGAAGACTCCTATGTTCACAGCTAAGACCCACCTGTCCTGTGACCTCCCTCTATTCCTCTGCCTATGTGACATTTCCACTTGGTTGGTCAATGTCTCAAAATTAGCAACAGAACAGAACCCTTGATTTCTATCCCTTATCATGCCTTGGTCCTCTGTCAATGACATCCCAACCTTGGAGACATCTTTGAGGCTTGCTTCTCTTTCCCTCATTATTTCACCCAGTCTATCAGCCAGACTTGCTGGTTCTTCTCCCAAAATATACCCATTCAATTTCCGCTCCACAGCCATCACTCTGTTCCAGGCACCATCTTTGCCTGCCTGGACCAGTGCAAGTGATTCCTGCCTAATTGTCCTCCCCCTTTCCATTCTGTACCCAACAGGCACTGTGATTATTTTGAAATCTAAACCAGCAGCTTGGGCTCCTCCCCTGTGAGGCGGGGATGAATGACCGGCAATGATGGGAAAGGCAGGGAACAAGTTCTGAGGAGAAGCTCTGAGCTGCATAGGAACCTCTGTTCCCACTTCTCCCATCTCCTCCTATGTGTCTGTGACTCAGGGAACCACCCCAGGCCAGGGATCCATGGGAAACTCTGTTTTGACAATCCCAACAATAGGTCTTGCATTGTCCACAAGCGAGCCTGGGGTGCCGTGCCAAGAGAGCTGTGCCAGAGGACTGGGACCAGGAATGCAGCACTCAGTTCTAAGCTGAGAGGCTGGGAGCTTGGTCCACCCATAAGGACCTCCTGTATTCAGAGAAGGAATAGACACTAGCCCTGTGCTGTAGGGCTGGCAAGTTAGTGGGCTTGAGGACCACGTGGGCACAAAAGGGGTCCACGTACCTGCGGGACTGCAGGCCTGGGGACTTGTTCACAGGGATTCAATGATGTAGTAGGCAGCTCCCAGGGCCCCCAGAGCCACAGCAACAGTCCCGAGGGCTTGGAGCACGCGAATTACGATGAGCGGAATGTTTTCTTGTAGGTCTTCTGCAAAGCAAAGCAGAAAACTCACAGGTTGGGGGCAGCTGGGCTCTAGTGCCTGTCTATGGGTGGGGGAAGGAGGAAATTGTGGGGTTCCCTCAGGACTGCAGGAATACCCTTCTCCCCCCATAGGTCCTCCTCTCAAGGGAACACAGCTCCCTGCCTCCCTTCCAGTAAAGCTCTCCCACAGGACCTGCCAGGATCCGAGAATGGGCTGGCGTCCTGGGATGCCATATCCTCTGGACACTCAGGGAACAGGTCACAAAGGCAGTCAAGGCCGCCACATGCCAGGCGCTGTACTAAACACCTCACACCCGGAGTCTTCCTCAAGCTTGCCAACAGCCCTGTGAAGCCCAGTCCACCATGTCGCTCCCTTCTGGAGCTGAGGCATCGGAGGAAGCCGCATATCATACCCACCACAAAGGTGGTGGAAAAGGGAAGTATATGATTATGCTAATTATTGTGAGGAAGGGTTCCACAAAATGCAATATCCATTTTGACAAAAATCCTACCGAAGTAGGGATTCTTATTTAATGGGAATGTGTATTTAAAGCCCAGCACCAACCTTCCACTCCACTGGGAAATGGAAAACTTACGGAAGCAGGTGCTAAACTTGAGCAGAATTAAGACTACATGTTTTACCTAGTCAGAGTGGCCTCTGTCCCGCCCCCTCACTTTCCTAATTCTTGTCCCTTTTCCTCCCCACTAATGCTCTCCCTTTAAAATAGGCAACAGAGGATCCTAAGATCCTTTCAGAGTCAGCTCAGATACGACTGGTACTACAATGTCTGTCTGGAACCCCGCTCAGGAGGGAAGCTCTTTGAATACCTACAGGACACGCATCACTTCCTGGCTTGCACCTTTGTTTCTAAATGTACATGTCTTAAGTTACCATGTAGAATGCAGTTTTTATGGGTCAAGTTCCCTGTTCTGGTTCCCCTCACGGTGCCTAGCAGCCTATGCAAAATAAGCTTTTCCTACTTGTTGGTTTTAAAGTGATATGAATCCCTGGCACAACTTGGCACCAGCTGGACGGAAGTAGTTAAGTGTGCGGAAAGACAGCCGATATTGGCGAGTGAGGCGGGGCGGGGACACGCCTTTCCCTGACAGGAGGTAGCCAGGCAGTAGAGTATCTTTAGCTCTGGCATGTTCTTCCCACACACGTGGGTGTCTGTTTGCTTCTCTTCTTGTGCCTGAGGGATGATGTTTTCAAGGATGGACAAGACAGGGAGAGGGACGAGGAAGAGGAGCAGGATGGGGATGGGGGATGGGTGGGCTTTGCTTCTGGGTTGGGGGATCCTCAAGCAGAAAGCCTCTTCTGTGGACATTTGGGAGACCTGAGTCCAGGCGGAGCCGTTCTGGGGCCCAGAGCTGCGGGTGGGTGGAGGTCTATCTCCCAGCCCTTGCACACAGCCCTGCACCACTGGGAAAGTGAGGGACATCTTCAGTCCAGTTCCCTGGACCAGGGGACGTGGCAGCCACCAGGTTGCTCTTGGTGGCTTCGTGGAAGAGGAAAAGAAGGGCAGATACTGCGGACGATGCTGTGGGGGCTGCCCGGTCATGGACAGACCCCCGTGGGGCTGCCAGGAACAGCCTGAGACCCTCTCAAGGGGTGGAGGTCTTACTATTACCATTTACAATTATATTTATCACTAAACTCTGGGGGAAAGTCGTACGCAGTTCAAGAACCAGAAGCTGTCAGTTATGGCCTAGGCCACAAAAGGAGGTGCTGGCCCAACAGAGCCTTTAATCACCAAGCTCCTGAGTGACGGGGAAGTCATGACGGGCTGGAGGGGGGAGAGCTCTGAACAGGGAGGGTGCCTGTGGAGTAAAGAAGCTGAGACCCCCGCAGAAGCAATCCCCGGTAAGGCAGAGTCTCAGCACCTCTCTGTGCAGGTGGGGCACCTCTGGGTGGGTCTGGTCAGAAAGGGCTGGGCGCCAAAGCCCAGGAAATGGCCACCGGGAGGGAGAGGCTTTCCTTCTGGCCTAGGATTCCCAGGAGGAAGTTCCACACGACTGCTAATGCGATCCCACGTGGGGCCTGGCCCTGGGAACCGTGTGCCCTGAGGCTCCAGCCCCCCACGCGCTCCAGAACCTGTAGAAGGTGAGGAGGTTTGGGAATGCTCTCCCTGGCATGCTTGGCCAGGCCCGAGGCAGAAGGACATCGAAGATGCGGCTATGACACAGGCCCAGACGACGCCAGCAAGCCAAGCTGCCGGGGCAGGTGGAGCAGGAACAGAAGGCACGCGGGCCCGCTCGAGTCAGAGGCCCTGGGTGGACAGAAAAGGAGAAGGGTGTCCACATGAGGAATGGTGTGTCTATGGAGAGAAGACTAACTGCATGGGAAGCTGGTTGTTTTACAGACCTGGTGCTACCTGGGAATAATACTAATGACACTGACGTCAGAGTGCACGCCTGGATGGTGCCCCGCACGTCACTAGCCATCCGTCTACTTGTCAGCCCAGTCCTGAGAAGTGGGATATTGTTATTCTCAGTTTACAAATAAGGAAACTGAGGCTGAAAGAATATGAGATGTGCCCTGAGAGCAAGGAGATTGAAGAAGGGGGCTTCCACTCAAGATTCCTGACTCTCAGTTCGGTGCTCTTTCCATGGAATTTGCAGGAGGTGACAGCAGCAGGGAACGCCCATCCTATGAGAGGTGGCACTGAGATTCCTGCAACCAGAGTGGCCATGTCCCATTTCTACAGATACATCCATCCGGAAGACAACCGCTGCCCCAGGCTTTCCAAGCCCATCACCATTGCTGCCCTGGCTGAGAAGGCCAGCAGAACTTGGAGATGGCACCCTCTGCTGTTTTGCAAGAGGACCTCTGGCTGGATCACTCCCTCCTCACGCAGCTGCTTCTGTCCTGGCTTCTTGACAGACCTGTAGATTCTTCCAACTCTAAGTCCATGAAGCCAGTGGTCAACTGGGGACAACTCAGCACACTTCATGCTTAGACCTGCCCACGACAGGAACTTTTCCTGGAATGGGGAAGGGAGGGATTCTAAAGGCAAGACTGGTCTTTTTTCTTTTTTAGTTAAAAAATAATTTTAACGGACATACGATTTCCATTCCATAAAATTTACTCCTTTGAACTGTTCAGTGGCTTTTAGTATATTCACAAAGGAATGCAACCATCATCACTCTCTAATTCTTGGAACTTTTTCATCTCCTGACAAGGAAACTCCCTACCCAGAAATAGGCACAGCCTGTTCTCCACTCTCCCCAGTTCCTGGTAATAGATCTGCCTATTCTGGACATTTCTTAAGTGGAATCATACAGTATGTGGACTATTTGGGGACTGGTTTCTTTCACTGAGCCTAAGGTTTCTGAGGTCCATCTGTGTTGTCACATGTATCACTACCTCATCCCTTTTTATTCCCAAATAGCATTTCATTGCATGGATGTACCACAAGTAGTTTATCCATTCATCACTTGATGGACAATGAGTTGTTTCCACTTTTTGGCTATGATGAATAATGCTGCCATGACCATTTGTGCACAAGTTTTTGTGTGGACATATGTTTTAAATTCTCTTTATATAACTAGGAGTGGAACTGCTGGGTCATATGGTAGCTTCATGCTAAACCCTTTGAGGAATGGCCAGACTGTTTTCCACAGCAGCTCCACCATTTTACATTCCTGCCAGCAGTGTGTGAAGGCTCTGATTTTCCTACAGCCTCACCAATGCTTGTTACTGTCCATCTTTCTGATGATAGCTATTCAGTGGAAGACTTGTACATTCTTGGTTGAAGATCATAATATGCACAATATTTAGTATAACACTCAAAACCATTTCTGTATGTTACAGATTGATTCCTAGCCACAGAAATAGCATCGTTACAGCCATACCCTGGATTTAGCACTCTCACCTCTCATTTATTTTGTGTCCACATCAACCCAGAAGGATAAGCTGTGGCCTTGGGAGTGTGGCCTGCAGGGGCCACAGAGCCACGGGCGCTGGCTGTTGGTGGATCCAGGAGAAGCTCAGAGAGGGGTGTTCTTTCTCCTGCGGAGACCACAGACCTCTGGGATTGGAAGGTCAGTGCTCCAGTTAAGAGTGAGGATTGTGGAGTCAGAATAGACCGAGGGTTCACTCTTAGTGCTACCAGTGCCTGCATGGGAGGGAATCGTTTGAACTCTTGAGCCTCAGTTTCCCCATCTATAAAATGGAGATATACTAGTACCTCCTTTATAGGATGGTTAAATGAGATTAATGTAGACTGCTGAGTTGAGTGCCAGGCATGCAGTAGGTGCTTGGTGATCAATGTTAGTCAGCTATGGTACTATGATTATCAGTAGTAGTGGAGTATTAACCAGCCCACCTCCTGAATTCCAGCTGAGTTCCCTCTACACAATCCAATGCTCATCTGGCAACCCAAGAAGATGGGAGACCACTTTTCTCGGACAGCTATTCCATTTTCAGACAGAGCTAATTGTTGGATTTTTTTTTTTTTTACATTGAGCAGAAATCTGCCTTCTCTAGTGTCTCCCGTGGGTAGGTTGCCAGATTTAGCAAATAAAAATACAGGACACTCATGCCATATTCAGGACACACTTACACTAAAAAATTATTTGTTGTTTGTCTGAAATTCAAATTTAACTGAGTGTCCTCTATTTTATCTGGCAACTCAATCCACAAGCCCTTAGTCAGACATCTGAGGATAACATGGAACAAATCTACCTACACCTTCCAACCCGCAGGCAGATGGGGCTGGTCCCTCAACCAATTCTCATACACCAGATGGATCTTGCCTCTCCCCACTCCTCTCACCCTGTATTAACCTGGACTATCTTCTTCCGACTAGATTGCTAGGCATCTTTTACGGCACACAGACACAGCCTGATGAGGAAGGACAGAGTAAAGCAGTAAGACCACCTCCCTTGTCCTTAACTGTATTCTTCTATTAATGCATCCTTGGGGTTTATTTTTCAGCATTGGTACTGCTGACTCCCAGTGAGCTAGTATCACCACCGAGCCACGCTGAATGTTAATATGTATGCGTGGCTGTCTTCAGACAGACTCAGCGTGGTGAAGAATGACAAAACCCAGGAATCCGGGTCTTCTGGGTAAAACCAACCCCCCCCCAAGCACAGTTCCAGAATACACGTTAACCATGCATCACTACCCAATAAAGCAAGTATCAGCCTCTGGGTTTGCCCTGGGGCTCTGTCAGCGGGAAGGCTAGAACCACTGTGGCTAAAAGGCTGCCCACCTGTTTTCTTGGATCGAGGGGATGCTTTCGTGTCAGTGTCTGGAGACAAGACGCCCCCAGCCGAGTGGCTGACTTCAGGAGATGGAAGAGCCTGGGGCCCAGGCTGCTGGCCGGTAGATTCATTGCTAGCCTGCGAAGTGAATCCAGAGCTGGGAGGCTGTGATGTGGGCCCGGCGCTGGGCGGTTGTGGCTGTGGTTGCAGTTGTGGTTGCTGTTGTGGTTGTGGGGTGGGCCCCGGGCTGGACAGCTGCGGGGTGGATCCAGAGATGGGCTGCTGTGAACTGGATTCAGAGCTCTGCTGCTGCGGGGTGGATTCAGAGCTGGCGTGCTGCGAGGTGGAGCCACGGTGCCTGGACTCTGACTTTTTCTTCTTGCCCTTCTTCATGGTGGGTCTTCCTAACCTAAACGTGGACCTCCATGGAGCTGCCTAATCTCCCGGCTCCCTCACCGAGGGGCCATTTGCCCCTGTCCTGGGGGAAGGCTCTGGCGTCCAGCTGGGCCCAGGCCCCCCAGGGAACAGTCACCCACACCCCTCCTGTGAGGTCACAAAAGCCAGGGTGGCTCTGTGGGACAGACTTCTCTGCTGACACCAGCCTGCTGCCCTCCCTTCTCCTTGGCTCCTGGGGTGGGAGGAGGGCAGCTGCCATGCCCCTGAGGGACCTACTTAAGCCTGATCAAGGGCCTGGGACAACTTGGACCCCCATGATTCTGTGACCCAAGTGCTTCCTTCAGGCACCTGCCCGCTAGCGTGTTCCTGGTCCCTGTTCTGCTCTGAGACACCCTGGCTGTGATGCTTGCTCTGTCACCGGTTTTCACATATTGCCCTCCCCCCAAAACAGTCAAACAAACAAACTACTTCACCATGCATTTTGTTAGTTTTAGGTAACTAAAGATTTGGGGGTCCATGGAAGGCCCACAGCCTTTTCTTATCTCAATTGTTCCCCTCCCAGATTATCCTACAGAGAGTGGCTTCCCCCTTCTCCCAAAGCCGGCCCTCCCCACTGTGGGAAGGAGCTGGAGGGGGTAATTCCTCAACTTTGATAAGAATCCTTGCAATTGGCAAAGGAATTTCCCCCCAAAGCACAACTGCTGTTTGGAAAATTAAACTTCTCTGAAACTCTACACTGATAACAGCAGACTACCCTTCAAACTCCCACTGGTTGTGCCAAATTAAGGGACTATGGTTCTCACAGTTAACAATGTGATTTTCATTTTAGGACAGAAGAGGATACAGCATTTTAAAAAGACAACCTTAAACTTCACACTTTGCAACGGAGAATGCACTCATTCACACTGGAAGATGACCTCCACTATACATGCAGCCCTAGGTGATTATTCGACCGCTAACCCCCCGTGTCCAGGGGCTGATATTCCTACCCCGGCATGAGGTTTAGGGGAGACCTACCCAGAAGGAACCCCCATATAAGGTCAGACCAGATGTGAAATGTGAAATGACAGGAAATATTTTAAGGATTCTAGAACCTGAAAAGACCTTAATGATTCTCTTTTTTGCAGAAGAGAAACTGAGGTTCAGAGATGTTAAATTATCTTTCTAAAGTCATGCAAGCTGGTTGGAGGCATTGACAGGGCTAAATTCCCATTCAGGGCTCTTTCTTTTCATGACTCCAGAAGGCAATAGGGAGTCAGATAATTATGCAGGCCTTAAAATTAATTAATTAAAAAATCCCTTGACGGGATTGAAAAAAACAAAGGCACGAAAGATTAGTAACGAAAAGAAGATCCAATCAATAAAGTTGGGTTGAATTTGGTTGACACTTGGTGTGAGGAGGTTCATTGAGCAGGTGAGTCTACAAGAAGGTAGTAATTCCCTGAAGTCAAGAATAGTGGAAAGCCAAACAAACTTATTTACAAAACAGAAACAGACTCACAGACATAGAAAACAAACTTATAGTTATCAAGGGGGAAGGAGGGTGGGAAGGGATAAATTGGGAGTTCGAGATTTGCAGATGTTGACCGGTATGTATAAAAGAGATAAATGAGTTTATATGTACAGCACAGGGAACTATATTCAATATCTTGTAGTAGCTTATGGTGAAAAAGAATATGAAAATGAATATATGCATATTTATGTAGGACTGAAGCATTGTGCTGTACACCAGAAATTGACACAGCATTGTAAACTGACTATACTTCAATAAAAAAAAATTAAAAAAAAAAAAGAACAATGGATCCCTTTGGGGATTCAACTTAGAATCAGAGAGACTGGAAACCCCAGTCAGGAATATTGTCCAGATTTAGCAGACAGGTCGGGAACTCCTAAGGCATTTATCTCTGCAAAATTAGATTTTCAGGCACCAGTGGGCTTTTGACCGAGGGCTGCAACCTGATTTAAATCAGGGTTTCTTAACCTCAGCCCTAATGACATTTTGGGTCAGATAATTCTTTGTTGTGAGGTTGTCCTTCATTGTAGGTGGTTTAGTAACATCCCTGGCCTCTGCCCACTAGATGACAGTAGCAACTACCGCTCCCAAAATGTGACAACCCAAAATGTCTACTGATATTATTAAATGCCCCTGGAGTGTTTGTGTATGTGAAAATTGCTCCTGGTTGAGAACCACTGGTAAATGAATTGGAGAGGGCAGACACATATGGGTAGGATTTCCTGGTAGCAATGAAAGAAACATTCCATTTCATACCAAAGAGCCAAAAATGACACAGAAAACAAATCCCTGTTCCCCGGGAGAGCGATGAAGGAAACATAGAGGGTCAGGCTTCAGAGGAGTGGGGAGTTTTCCTATGGCAGTGGAGAAAATAACTGTGGGTTCTTTAGCAAGGGCAGTCGCAAGAAGCAGGGAGATGGTATTTGCGGAGTTAGAGGTTGTCCTGGAAAGATGAGGAAGAATGGCACTGCAGTAGTTCTATTCTAGAACGTCTTCCCCTCTGCCTTCTGGCCTGAGCCCTTCCTAGCCTGGAATTCTGACCCTTCCATAACACAGTCACAGCTCACTGTCCCAGGCTTACTGGCCACCTCATTGCTACCCACGTCCAGCTCTAGCTGATCAGCTGGTGAACATGCCTGACTTTCCTGCATTTGGGAAGCCCTTTCTCCTCCATCAGGCCCCTCCCCATCTCTGTCAGAACACTTCCCACCACCAAGATTCATCTCAAGTGGAACCATCTCCTCATAAAGCCTTTCTTGAGATCCCCAAATAGATGCGATCTCTCTCTTCCAGATCACATTCTGCATGTTAGAGTGATTTCTATCCTTGTCTTGTCTCGAGTTCCCCACTCCCAGACTGTGGAGACCATGCGCCAAAGTCCAGAGAAGGGGCTCAACTTGCTCTTGCTGCTTGAAGGTGAAGGTCGGAGGACAAAGAATGCAGGGAACCGTTGAAGGCAGGGTGGGTGTGGCTGATGGGGGACAAGGCACCTTGGAGATGGTCACCTAGGGCTTGTTTTCAAAGAGGGACTGGGAGTTTTGGCTTTGCCTGAGGGTCACAGTCGGAACAGTCCCTAGGTAAGGGGCTTTCCTAACCAGGTATGGCAGCCCTGGCTAGAGCTCATGGACTATTTAGGTTAGCCGGAAGAATGAGTCTAAGGGGATGCAAAGTTAGAGAGTCAGGATGAGGTCCTGACCAGAAGGCTCCAGGTGGTTCTCGTCCTCGGGATGCACCCTGGGCACTCAGAACAAACATGGCACCACTTGTCCTGAAACTAGCATCTTAGAGCTGGATGACGCCACAGCTGGATGTCACCCCTACACGTCAGCAGCGGGGACACTTGCTCTGGTCACCACCAGGAGGTGGCAGAGCCTCCAGCAACCCCGGATTGGACTACTGCACCCAGAGCACTCCCCCCTTTCCGAATGCTGTTCCTGGAGGGGCTTTGGGAGACAGAGGCACTTGGTGCTCCTTTAAGAGCCCACTGCCCGGGGCCCTCAGATCCACGGATTAAGCTGCTGGGGCCACAGGCCTGGGTTCCTTCATAGGACGGGTCTCAAGGGCTGTGGGTAAGAGTTCGGCAGCCGGCAGGCTACCCTAAGGCAGTGCCTTCCTTAGAAGGTCATTGTGAGGATGAGTCGTGAAAAGCCCTTAGAACAGTGCCTGGCTCACGATAGGCATGTTTTTATTGTAGTTGTGATTCCCGTGGAGGAGAAGGCTAAAGAACCAAGCAAGGAAGAGTGGATGTGGAGGGAGGGGGCGGGCCCAGAGCTACAAACTCCCAAATCTGTACCTTACAAAAGCGTGATTGCGAGCAATGGGTCAGGGGAAGGGGATTGGGCGGATGGGTGGGAGATGTGACTACAAGTTAATTGGAACACTTTTGACCCGAGATTGCCCCAGCGAGTCACCTGGGTGAGAAATCGAATTCATCTTCACCCAAAACGGTGTAAGAGGAGGCTCTAGGAGAGGGACCGTGACATCAGGCATTTGTCGCTACTTGGGACCAACGGGATCAGGGGACTCCCCTCGTATTTTAAGTTTCCCACCTGGGGACAACCGCGGCTACCTGGCGTTCCCACCTCCCGCCCTCGGGCCCCTCACCATCCGTCTGGGTCGCCTGCTCCACTAGGGGGACGCAGCCTCGCGCCGCCCTCTTGCGCGCTTGGCTGGCGGCGGGCTGGATGTCCAGGGTGCCCT